CCGCTGTTCGGCTTGTCCGCTTGCCAAGCCAGCCAGCCAGGGATGATTTGCCACCGTGGGAATTGGCTACCTCTCCAGCTCGACTCCCTCCCAACAATTCGGCCATGCATTTTATTTTTTTTTCTTTTCTTTCTTTCTTTCTTTTTTTGCATGCCTTGAGAAACACAACTTCCTTCTCCCACCCACCCAAAAGAAGATGATGATGATGACAGCGGGAGGCAGGAGTCACCCTCTCCCTTGCAAGCCCCCCAGCGCCCAGGGCTGGCGAAAAAAGCAAGAGCCGTTCTTACGATCTCTCTCTCTCTCTCTCTCCCTCTCTCTCTTTCTTTCTTTCTTACCGGAATACAGTCAACCCCTTTCCAGCACGCGCGATCCACCACTGTCGTTTTGCACCTTGCAAATGCAAAAACCACGGAGGGCTCCGGGATTTTTTTTTTTTTTTTTGTTTTTGCAAAGAGCAGCGTGAGCAAAGAAGAGCAGCCAGCCAGAAACCTGCTACCAGTAGTCCAAACTAACAGCGCTGCTGTTCGGAAAAGAAAAAAATCGGAATTCCGATTTTAGTCGGAAGAATATCATGTATGCAAATAATAATAATGGGGGGAAAAACACCCGACCAACGGAAGCAAAATTTTATTAGGTATGTGTTATGTATGTATTCTCCATTACCAGTATGAAATGATACTGTTCAGGAGAAAATTTTATCACCTCATCTTGTATATGGATGTAATAGGTCTATTATAGGTTTTAGTAACCAGATTTTGTTAGAAAGTAGAATAGAACAGAATGGAATATTGGAATGGAACAGAACAGGAATAGGAATGGTTAGGGAGAGGGAGAGGAAGAGGAAGAGGGAGATGAAGAATAGGGACAGGACAAGAACTGAACAGAAGAGTGGAGTGGAATAGAATGGAATAGAAAGTAGAATAGAGTAGAGTGTAGAATAGAATATTAGAATGGAGCAGAACAGAATAGAGGGATGGGATGGGATGGGATGGGATGGGTCATAGCCCCATCGAAGCTTGAGTCAGCAGAGGAGATGAGCCGGAGTTGAGGCCAACAGTGGTTGAGGGAAAAGCCTCATTGGCTTTGAAGGAATGTGGGGAGGAGCTGGACAAGGCAGCCCCAGGTCCCTTGGTCTTTGGATGGCTTGTCAGCAGGAAAGATGACCAAGAGAGAGGGGAAGAGAGGGCAGGCAGTGGAGATGAGGAGCAATGAAGCTCAGGTGACAGGGACCACCCCCTCCTGATCCCCAAGCACAAGAATGGAGAGGAGGTGGGAACAGTGCACGCCAACCTGACGACTTGGGAGGAGAGAACCCACCCTTCTTCACAAGGCACACGTGGGAACTCAGACTTAAGGAGACGCTGTGGCTCCCCAGGAACAAACACTGAATTTGTGGAGTTTTGTGTGCCATTGCCGACATCTGGAGTTCGCTGGATTTGCCTAGTTCCTTTGCTTTGTGAAACTCACTTCCATGTTCCCTTGCCTCACTGGATTTCTTGCCTGGAAGCTGTTGTGCTAATAGCATTTTGCTGGATTACTAGCAGCCAAAGGCTACTGGAGGTGTATGTGTGAGCATTTTGCTCTGGGACTTGCTATAAACGTGGGAGCATTTGGGAGGAAAGTTGGAGCAATAAAGGGGAGTCTGAACTATCAGCTGTGTTGCTTCTGTGACTTGCCCCAGGTCATCACAGGATAGGATGGGACAGGACGGGATGGAATATTGGAATGGAATGGAACACAACAGAACCATATATTGGATTGGATTGGATTGGGAATGGGTGTTGGTAGAGGTTACCGTGAACCTATCTATGCTGCAAGAGAGCCCAGGATGGGTTGACTCCTTCTTGTGATGTCATAGTTGAGTCTGTACTAAGACAGTGGTCCCCAACCTTTTTTGTACCAGGGACCAGTTTCACGCAGAAACACTTTTTCAAGGACTGGGGGGGGGGGGGGGAAACGGAGGACACTTTTTCAAGGGGGGGGAGAGGGGGAGGAATCCGAGTTTGGTGGTTTGCTTGCAGACGTTTTATTACCTGACTAGATAACATTTGATGTTGTTACCTAGTCGGGTAATAAAACATCTGCCAGCAAACCACCAAGTTCAGGGAGCACCAATGCCTCCTCATTGCAACCCTGAGCGACAGATATTCTCTTCTATTGGGACATTTAAAACGGAGGGTTTCAGCTGCAGATTCAGGAACTGCGCCGGGCTGAGGAGCGCCTTCAAAACAGCGCTGGGCGGCGGCGGCCCGCGGCTCTCTCCGCGGCTCAGGACAAGTCCCTGCAGGATGGCTGAGAAGCCCCACCTCTCAGCCCTGTCTCCCTCAGCCTCATCCCTCAGGTGTCTCCCTCCCTCCCTCAGCCTTATCCCTCAGGTGTCTGCCTCATTCCTCTGTCAGTCGCTCTCTCGCGCTCCTCCATCAGCCCAGGAAGAAACTGCTTCAAAGAAGCCAGCAGGGTGGCTTTTCCTGTCAGCACAGCTCCTCCAAAGCGCCGGTTCACCCCCACCCCGCCGCCCACGGTTCAATCCAGCGCTCCATTCTGCCTGCCTGCCTTCGTTTCTGGTTGTTTCGGAGCAGCTTCGGCTGAGTAAAAGAGGCAAACAGTTATTATTCTCAGCCAAAGCTACTCTGAAACAACCAGAAATGAAGGCAGGCAGAACGGAGCACTGGATTGAACCGCGGGGTGGGGGTGAATGGGCGCTTCGGAGGAGCTGCGCTGACAGGAAAAGCCACCCTGCCGGCTTCTTTGAAGCAGTTTCTTCCTGGGCTGGTGGAGGAGCGAGAGAGCGACTGAGAGAGGAACGAGGCGGGAGGAAACCAAAGCCGCTGAGCCGGAGAGCAGGACAGGCTCTGGTTGCTTCTTCCCTCTCCTTCTTTCATTTGTGTCCTTGATCCCTGATCCCAGCAGCATTCACCGAAGGCGAAGAAAGCTGCCATTTTTATTTTATTTTTATTTTCTTTGCGGCCCGGTACCAAATGATCCACGGCCCGGTACCGGTCCGTGGCCCGGTGGTTGGGGACCCCTTTACTAAGATATAAAAGCCAGCCCCCGGAAGAGACCCCAGCTTTGGCGAAGATACTTGACAGACTGAAAGGTGTCTTTGAAAGCACAAATGAATACAGAAATATGATTTACCCCCTCTGGATGAATCAAGGGAGAGGCTGGGCTCTCTCGCAGCATAGATAGAAAGGGCGTTCAGGGTAACTTCTACCAACGCCCATTCTCCTCCATGCTGCATCGAGAGCCCAGGATGGGACATACCAAAGCTTGCATGTCCACGGGTGGGTCCTCATCCGGCTCATCACACCGACTGTTGAACCACTCGTTGAAGCACCCATCTGCCAAAGGCTGCAGTTGCCTAGGCAAAGACATCAGACAGAGATGTCCACGTGGCCGCACAACAGATCTCCTCCAAGGGTGCTTGGGTCACCCAGGCAGCCGAAGTGGCCACATTTCTGGTAGAGTGCGCCTTCAGACCTCGAGGAACCAGAAGTGCCGCAGCTTTGCCTGCACAGAGCTCTGTAAAGCTGCTCCCAACGTGCAGGAGAGAGAGAGAGAGAGAGAGCCCTTCTCTCCTGGAAGAGCAGCTGCCCAGATCCCTGGGAGCTGCTTGAAGAGAGGGAAAAAAAGTACTGAAGATCACTGGTGATTGCTATCTAACAGAACCCTTTCAGAGACACAGCTACTGACTGAAAGGAGCTGAGTCAAAAGCTGGAGTCTCTCCCAGGGGCTGGCTTTTATATCTTAGTACAGACTCAGCTATGACGTCATAGGAAGGAGTCAACCCTTCCTGGGCTCTCGGTGCAGCATGGAGAATAGGACTAGAACAGAACACTTTTTATTGGCCAAGTGTGATTGGACACACAAGGAATTTATCTCCGATGCATAAACTCTCAGTGTACATACAAGCAACAAGTGATTTGCATCAGTTTTTCTCTTGCTCTCCCTCCCTCCCTCTCTGTCTAGAAACATAACTAGAAACAAACGTAAATATAACTAGTGCAAATCGCTTCATGCTTCTGACCAAAGCTTTTGGTCATCCTACTGTATTTATTTTGCATATGTAAGTCATCATACTTTATATAGGACACAATATACTGTGGTAGTTGTAAATTCTGGGCAAAGATTGATGAGGTATAGGTCAGATGAATAAATGGATAGTTTTGGCAATAAGCCAAGCAATGGAAGCCTTTCATAGATCTTCCCAATTTCAAAATGTATTTTACTATTCTAAGGCCTAGACCTAATAACATAATGGACTATGAGATTCCCAGGAATCAGCTCTCATACCAGAATCAGCATGGTATTGGGCATATAAAATTTGTAGAATTTGAAAGCCTCCCACAGAAACATACAAAACTGAAAACAAAAGGGGTGAAGCAGGGGGACCCTTCTACCACCTGCTATCACCCTGTAGCAGTGATGGCAAACCTTTTCAGCACTGAATGCCCAAACTGGAACATGTGTGCATGTGTGCATACCGGAGCGCTGGAAAACCGAAGACCAGCTGGTTGGTATGCATGCCTATTTGGGGGGCGTTTGTGGGACTGTTTTCAGGCCTTTGGGAGCTGTTTTCTGAGCTATTTTGGGGGCATTTTTGGTGTGAAAAATGGTGTGAAAACAGCCCAAAACCAACCTGAAAATGGTCCAGAAATGGCCCCAAAATGGCCTTGTTTTGGCCATTTTTAGGATGTTTTGGGGGGCAAAAATGGCCCGAACCCCCCCAAAAAACAGCCCGAAAATGCCCAGAAAATGGCCTGAAAAACAGCCTTTTGGGGGCCATTTTCCGGCACTCCAGCACCCTCAAGAGCAGCTGGCAATGGCACGTGTGCCCACTGGACGGCTCTGCGTGCCATAAGTTCTCCATCACAGCCTTACACTTATTAGGCTCCACAAAAATATTAAAGGACAGAATTGCATGAAGTGTCAGGTGGCCAGGTGCAGAAAGGAGGATTATAGACATTATGTTCTCACATTCCTTTGCTTTTACTTGCCATTAATTAGTTCCAGGGCCTCTTCCTTGCTTCGTGTGATTTTATCTTCCCTCCATGATGCGGGTCTCCTGGACTGATTGTGTTTCACCAAGAGATGTGAGCATCGCACTTTTGTTGGCTCCCCTTGACCATTCTTGCTGTTGCCAGTGGGGCGTTCCCATTGGCTGGCATTTGTGATATGATTGAAATAATAAACCCGCCCTGCAAAATAAAATAGAATGATGTTAGTTCTAAGGCAAAGTAGATCATTAAGAGCTTTATTCTTTCTTAAAATAAATTTCCCATGATCTTCCCTTCCCATCGTGATATTTCGGTTTTAACTTCTGTCCAGCATTTAATCCACCCTTTCTCCTCCACATCAGCAGGTTGATGTATTACGTCTCAAATTTGTGCCACCAAGTGATCCAAGATACTCTCCCCAACTAATACCAAGTACAGCCCCAGTACTATGTTATTTGTGATTTTACTGAATGTGTAAAATTTCACTAAACTATGTTAAAGAACAACATATCCCAGGTAAGTTTTAATAAAATGTTTTTGGTTATATCAAAATGAAATTTTTGTGGAAAAGAAAAAAACAGAAATGTTCAATGTAAAAAAGCATTAGATACCACATTGATTTTCCAACAGAATGTATGGGCAATGGATATAAGGAAAGAGCATGTAGAAGCTGCTTGGAACATAACGTAAAGACTTACATCACAGAATGTCACAAATGTATATACATTAATGATAGGAAAATAGATGGCTCATAAAATGTAGTAAAAATTTATATAAGGGGATTATTGCTGCAAAAAAATATACAAGAGAAAGGCACTTATAGAGAGCACAATTAAAAAGAGCAGGGAATAGCTAAGAGGAAAAGAAAATTCAGAGTGATTTTGATGGGAAAAAAATGGGTTTCAGAAGAGGGCTAAACAAGGAGCTTCTAGCAGAGTTAATGTAATTAAAATTGACAAAATGAATTGGAATTAAACTGGCACAAGGCAATGCTAGGAGTATTTTGGAGATTTGTGGAATGACAGGAATAAGCTGAATAATGTAACTGGAATGAATATTTAAAAATGCAGGAAAAAAATTAACTGAATTAGGAATCTTATGGGACAGATAAATAACATGTTGAAAAGTCCAACGGAAGCAAATGCTAATAATATAAATTCTCAAGAAAACTAATAATGAAAAGTTATACATGCTATGAGAATGTTAAAAATGATAAAGATTGCAGATGTTGAGAGCAAAAATCTTAAAATAAGAATGTGTGGATTACTTATAGAGTGGCTATGGAAACATAGCAAGCAAAAGGAAGCAAAGGTGAATGCAAAAACAACAGGGAGATTAAATGTGCTTAGGAAGATGTTCGGCCAAATTCTGATAGGAAGGTTATGAAAGGTGATACTGAGCAAAATTTGTGAAGTAAACAAATATTTATATTAGGCAGAAGGTATGTGTTTTCCTTTTCACCATATCATGAAAAATGAATGAGAAATAAAAGATTCTTGTATGTTTGTTGATTAAGAGAAAGTACCTGACAGAAAGCTTAAATGTTTTGTGTGAATGTACTATTAAACATTGGTCACTAAGCAGTGAAAGATGGATAGAAAAGATGCATAATAAATGGAATGTTTAACCAGCAGTTCAATGCCAAACATACAGACCAAATGTATGATGTTCCTTTGACTGCTTTAATGTATTTAGAGTACATCTTGAAGAGACCAAAAAAAATGCTACTTTTGCTGCCCTCTTGTGGTGCCTGGAAGCTGTGGGGGGCCTGGTTGTAGTACAACAGGCTTCAGCAGAACTCTGATAAACCGAACGGCTTTAAGTACATGGAGTTTAAGGATCCAGGAGCTTCACATCTTTAGTTCTGGATGGGATTGCACTCCCTGAGACAGATCCTCTGCACAATTTGGGGATCCTCATAGATTCATGATTCCTGCTCAAAGAGCAGGTGGACATTGTGGCTAAGAGAGCGCTTTTGTACAACTTTGAATTGTGCACCCTTTCCTAGATTGAGAAACCTTATGCTTAGTAACTCACACCGTGGTCATTTTGTGCTTAAGACTACTCCAGTGCACCCTACCTGGGGCTATCCTTGAAGAGCATTTGGAAGTCAGCCGCATGAACAATCTTAGGGTGACCCATGCTACACCATGGCTGCACAAACTGCACTGGTTGTTGGCTTGCTTCCCGATCCAATTCAAGGTGTTGGTTATCACATTTAAAGCACTTTATGGAATGAGTCTAGGAACCATCTCAGCCCAATGGGATTGGCTTGCCCCACTTGCTCTAGCAGATGGGACACGCTCTGGATCCTGCCAGCCAAGGAATTGCAGCTGTGGGGGGGGGGGTGTTTCCCAGGAGAAAAGTCTTTTCTACCATGGTTCCCGATATTTGGAATATCATGCCTCTTGAGTTGAAATCTACCCCCATCCTCTTGGCCTTACGAAAGAGACTAAAAACCTAGATTTGCCAACTGGCTTGGGGCTTAATGTGGGCATCCCATTTTGGAAGTGACTAGTAGAAGATCTCACCTCAACCCCATGCATGCACTGGTTCTTTTTATCCATTTCAATTTTAATTGTAATATTTTAGCTTTTAACATTTGCTGTTTTAATTTTTAATTCTCTTATTGTTTTTTTTAAATGACCTGATAAGTTGGCCAGAGGCGTTTGAGCAGGACACAGATTTAATAAACAAAAATAAATTATTGTGGTGGTATTAGTAGATATGTTGATCAGGAACATGAATATACACATATCTTGTATGCAGATGATGCTAAACTTCCAGCTAAGAACCTAAATGGTTTACAGTAAATGTCAGGCTGTATGGCATAATGAGAAGCATACAAAAATGAAAATAATATAATGAAGGTCAAGGTTGTTGTGTTGGACAGGAAAAATGGAGTTAACAATGGCAAAATATACATGAAGGGAAAAAGCAGATTAAAAAAAGAATTTATATATGCTTATTTGAATGGTAACTAAAATTGGAGAAATGGATGAAGACAATCTAAAATACAAGCAGGCTGGGTACAAAAATACAGAGTAGTGTGTTGCCTAGTATAAGTGAATACTGAAAGAAGCATAAATGGCTGTACATAAAGAATATGTTTCTGCACATTTTTACAAAGAAATGAGAATTCAGTATGAAAAGCATAAAATGCAGATGGGAATGGCCTACTGAAGAAGCTTGAGCAGTAAAGCAAGAACATATGATTATAGATTATAGACTGAATACAAAAAGGTGAGCAAAAAAGTAGATTGAGATAACTTGAGTCATATTGAAAGAATTAATGAGGAAAAAATACTGGAAGATTGAATTAGTCAAGAGAAAAGGGAAGTCCAAAAAGTTGCAATTGGGTGGAATACATTAAATCCTGAAAAAGATAAGAGGTTAAAAGATAAAAATGCAATGTACAGAGCACAGTGGAAGCAAGGATGCTTTGCAAGACTAGAATGGTATGAAAAAGAAGAGTAAATGGTTGTTTTACTACATTTTCTTTTTTTGTACTGCATTTATCTTTATTTTCTTATTTGTTCCATTTCTATAGCTTAATATCTTAGGCTTACTATTTTGTACTCACTCTGTATAATATTGCTTATCATAAAAAAGAATAATATTATAGGTATGTTTCACTGGAAAATCATTACCCCTCAAAGATATGATTTGTAAGCAACAAAAATCAAATTTCTATCATTTTGGTAAGCTCAGTTGCTTGAAGAAAAATAGCTATATGAATAATTTTTCCATACAATATGCACATCACACACATAATATGCAATTTTACATGATTCATTTTGGCGCCAAAAGATTCAACAAGATTATAGGTAATGTTAAACTTTACAATTACACCTCCTGAGTCACTAATAGGATAAGAAGAAAATGGTTTTTCTCTGTAAGACATCTTTTTTAAAGAAATTGGGCCAAACTGTCAGGCTGGATAAATCTTAATAACCTAATATTCTTTTTCTCATATTTCTCATACTTTAATCACTGTAATTTACACCATTTGCAGAAAATACTAAAAAAAAATTCAATTTTATTAAATGACCTGAAAAACAGTCTGGTTTAGAATGAAATTTTAAAAATAAGCATATTGTATTTAAAATCTCTTCACTTCAATCTACCTGTCAAAAATAGATAAATCTAGGCGATTCTTTTAAATACAGAAAGAAAAATTCAGACAAACAATTGATTTTCAGCCATTATGATTTTATACTATTTTCTAACATGTGAAAAAGTTTAACCTACTTTTCAACTACTTTGCTCATAAAATACAGAAGAAAAGCTAATTATAGCTAACTCTCCCATACCGACTCTGGGGCAAAGGAACAAACTTATTAAGTTGAAGAAGACTGTTAAGCAGTGAGAATGCAGATCAGATTATAATATGATCATAGCTCATCTTCCAGAAAGTACTGTTAGGAAATAACTATTTTAGGTCTGGATTATATTTTAAGCCTTAAATTCATTCCAAGATCAAAAACATTAACAGAAATGAGGCTTGGCTGCATGACACTGAAAAAGCTGTTCCTTGCTTTTTAAAAACACCGTAGTCAACTCAATAGTTCTCAACTTACAACCGTAATTGGGACCAGAATTTCAGTCCCCAAACAAAGTGGCCATGAAGTGAGTTGTCATATGACCAGATCCAATTTTACAACCATTTTTTACCACAATCATTAAACAAATCAGCATGGTTGTTAAGTGAATTACATAGCCTTTAAGTGAGTTGTGTGGTTGCTAAGTGAATTTGGCTTCCCCAATTGACTTTGTTAGAAGCTTGCTGGGAAGGTCAGAAATCACAATTAAGTAACAGCAAGCCAACACTACTCTCATAAATGTAAGCCAGTTGCCAAGCACTCAAATTGTGGTTAAATGATGTGTCTGTGTGTGTGTGTGTGTGTGTGTGTGTGTGTGTGTGTGTGTGAGAGAGAGAGAGAGAGAGAGAGAGAGAGAGAGAGAGAGAGAGAAATATTTGTAATTTCAAAGACATGTAATGTTTTCCAAGGCCAATGTAACTTTCAACCATTGTTAAATGAAGTTGTAAGTTGAGGACTACTTTTACAGAACTTTACAGAACAAAACTTCTTAGTCCAACTGAGACTGAAAAAACGTCTAATGTAAAATTTTCCCATGTAGTGCCCTGACATTTGAACCTGGTTGTAAAAATTCATTTCAATTTTTTTAAAAAATAAAAT